CCAAGAAATCCACTTCATCAGGTGTTCAATGGCTGCTTACTGTGTGCTAGATTCTACAGCAGGAGCTGGGAATATAAAAGGGAGTAAGCCATAGCCCGGGCTTTCAAGGAGCTCAAGTTCAAAGGAACCCCATCAGTTAAGGAGCACAATAGCGTATGAGTTCTGTAATCAGAGGGATGAGCAGGGTCAGATGGTAGCAGCGAGGGACCAACACAGGAGTGTGTCTGGGGGTGGGGGAGAAGGCGCACCTGTGCCCAGCTCTGTGCATCTGGCAGGAGACAGCACATGGAATAGAAAGTACGTGTTTCCGGGATCTGTAAGAATATTGCTAAACAGGAAAAGTGAGGCCAAGACAGTGGCTGAGAAGGCTGCCAAACAGAGAACTTGTACTGTGTTCTGTATGTGCCAGGTGTGAGGAGAAAACGAGTTCAATTTTGAACATGCTGAGTTTAAGGTTCCTATGAGATTTTCAGATAGGGATGCTCAGGTGCTGGGTGGGTGTTTGTGACTGGAGCTCAGCCAAGAGTTTTTAATGGAGACAGAGATTGTTTTGAGTCATCAGTGTCTCATGGGTGGCTTATCTGTAGGAGGGGGTGAGATCACACAGGGAGAGGTTATTTTCAAAGTGCAGTCCTTGGGCCATCTCCATTAAAACCCCACAGGAGCTCGAAAGATGCACGGTCCTCAGACCAAAGCCCAAACCTGATTCGGGAATCTCTGGGAGTTGTACTTGGGGATCTGCATTTAAGTTTGTTCCCTGGCAGATCTATTTACACAGAGAACTTCAATAACCGCTGGTGTGGAGGGAGAAGGTAAGAGGCTGAGGGAAGAAGCTTTCAAGGTGAACACCCAGTGATTTAAGGGACTGTCCTTCTGCTCCCGGTTCTTGATGGCTGGCTCTGTCTAAGCTCTTTTTTCTTCCTCTTTGCTTGCTCTCTCTTGGCAAACTTATCTCTTTGTTGCTGGGACTGATCTTTGAATTGATTGTTTTTTAGCTATGGTCCCACATTTCCAACTGCATTTTAGAAACACCTACCAACTGGAGCCCGTCTCCTCCCTAAGCTGTGTCTCTTGAAGAGCTGCATTCTTGCCGGGCTTCCCCGGCCACTGCACATCAGTGCCTACATCTCCCAGTGGCTCTCACCATTCTCCCTTCTCCCCACTTCTACTGCCAGCTCCTGGCTCAGCCCCTCCTCAGCTCCTGTGTGGACTGCGGCACTACTCTAACCAGACAACCCTGACTCCAGTCTTTCTCCTTTAATCCAAAAGTCATTTTTGATTAAAAAAAAAAAAAGAGTCTTGCTGAACCATTGTACACCATTGCTCAGAAGTGTTCCATCACAGTATTGCCTGCACAGTAGACATTAATCCCCTTAACCCAACACTCAAATCCCATCACCATCTGCCCCAATCTGGGTTCCCACTCTTGCCCCTCCTGCGTACAACACAGCAATGGTTGTACCTTTTGTGTCTGTAAATACCATCCTTTTTGCCCAGTGCCCTGAACTTCTCTATCCTCTCTGACCTTCCAGACCCAGATCATAAGCTAGTTCCTTCAGAAAGCCTTTCTAATTCCCCCATCTGCTTCCCCAGGAGTAAATTACATTTTAGGTCCATTTATTGTGCATATGTCTTTTAATTTCTTTTGTATTAACACATATTAATTGTACATAATCACAGATTCACAGTGGTATTTCCATACAGCATGCATCTATCATTTCCATCCACCTTCCCTCCATCCCTCACTCCTGAACCTTGCTCAGTCCCTAGTAATTATTAGTCTACTTCTAGATCTATCTATATCTATGTCTATCTATATTTAAATATCTTTATATCTATATATCTATCTGTCTATATCTATAGATAGATAGATAGATAGATACACACACACTTTCCACATATGAGACAGAACATGTGACACCTGTGTCTGGCTTATTTCACTTAGCACAATGTCCTCCAGTTCATCCATTTGGCTGCAAATGACAGGATTTCATTCTTTCTCATGACTGAATAATACTCCATTATGTGGACATACCATATTTTCTTTATCCATTCATCTATTAACTGGTGCCTAGCCTGATTCCATATCTTAGCCATTGTGAATAGTACCTCAGTAAACATGGACATGCAGGTACCTCTTTTATATGCTCACTTCATTTCCAATGAATGTATGAAGTGAGATAGCTAGATCATATGAAAATTCTATTTTTATTTTTATTTTTTGGAGGGGACTGGGGATTGAACTCAGGAGTACTCAACCACTGGGCCACATCCCCAGCCCTATTTTGTATTTTTATTTAGAGACAAGGTCTCACTGTGTTGCCTAGCACCTTGTTATTGCTGAGGCTGGCTTTGAACTCATGGTTCTCCTGCCTCAGCCTCCCAAGCCACTGAGATTATAGGCATGTGCCACCGTACCTGGCTACTTTTAATTTTCTGAGGAACCTAAATACTATTTTCCATAGAGGCTGCACTGATTTACATTCCCACCAACAGTATCTAAGGTTTCCTTTCTCTCCACAACTTTGCTGGCATTTTAAAAAATAATAGCTATTTTAACAGGGGTGAGATAGTATTTTATTGTAGTTTTGATCTGCATTTCCCTAAAGGCTAATGAATTTTTTTATGTATATATTAGCCACTTGTATGTTTTCTTTGGATAAATTTCTATTCAGATCACTTGCTCATTTTTAAATTGTTTTGCTTATTTTTTGTTATGAGGTTTCGGAGTTCTTTATGTATCACAGATACTAACTCTGTCAGATTCAGATGAATAGCTAATAAACTGCACACCCATCTAGTATCGGAGTCCTTGGTTTTGTTTCTTAATGTCTTACCTTTCCCTCTGTTATGGACTAGATCTTAAATATCCCCCCAAAGCTTCTTTCTTGAAGTCTTGGTCTTCCACTGATGGTGCTTTTGGGAAGAGGTGGGAACTCTAGGAGATGGGACTTCAATGGGACCTAGTGGAGGAAGTAGTCACCAGGGTGTGCCTTTGATAGGTGCATTTCATCCCCAGCCCCTGGTCCTTCCCCCCACATCTCTCTGCTTCCTGGCCACCATGGAGACAGCAGCTCTGCTGCACTGTCTGCTCCCCACCATGATGTTCTGCCTCCCCAAAGGCCCAAAGCAATGGAGTCAATTAACTATGACTGACACCTCTGAAATCATGAAACCAAATAAATCTTTCCTCCTTTAAGTCGATTTTCTTAGTATTCTGTCACAGTGATGGAAAACTGACTCGCACACCCTCTAAGAGTGCAATGGGTAAAGGAAGGAACATCAAGAAATTTTTATCCAACTCTTGATTCTATCATTTCTAACCGGAAGATAGATGCAATTATTCAGCTTCTCTGCACCTCGGCTCTCTCAAGCTGCGAAGTGGGCTAACCATGTGTACGTTGCCAGTAGAAATTACACCTGAGAAAAGATGGGACATAGAATTCACAAAGGCATTTCCAGCAAGGGGAACAATGTAGGGGCAGACACGAAGGATGTACTTAATCCATCATAGAACTCAGATTTTATGGGCAGCCATGTGCCTGCCCTAGAGGGTGAATTCTGTTTTGTTGTTGTTCTTCTTTTTTAGTTATGCACGACAGTAGAATATATTTTGACATACATACATGGAGTATAACTTCCCATTCTTGTGGTTGAACAGGGTGTGGAATTTCACTGGTCGTGTATTCATACATGAACATAGGAAAGTTATGTCCGATTCATTCTACTGTTTCCTATTCCCATCCCCCTCCTTTCCCTTAATTCTCCTTTGTCTAATCCAATGAACTTCTATTCTCTCCCCCACCCCAACACATTGTGTATTAGCATCTGCATATCAGAAAGAACATTCAGCCTTTGGATTTGGGGGATTGGCTTATTTCACTTAGCATGATATTCTCCAGTTCCATCCATTTACTGGCAAATGCCATCATTTCGTTTTTCTTTATGGCTGAATTATATTTCATTGTGTATATATGCCACATTTTCTTTATTCATTCAACTGTTGAAGGGCACCTACAGTGGTCCCATAGCTTAGCTATTGTGAATTGAGCTACTATAAACATTGATGTGGCCATGTCACTATAGTATACTGATTTTAAGTTCTTTGGGTATATGCCAAGGAGTGGGATAACTGGGTCAAATGGCAGTTCCATTCATTCTAATTTTTCTGAGGAATCTCCATACTGCTTTCCAGAGTGGTTGCACCAATTTGCAGTCCCACCAGCAATGTAGGAGTGTACTCTTTTCCCCAGATCCTCATCAACATTTATTGCTGCTTGCATTCTTGATAACTGCCATTCTGACTGGAGTGAGATGGAATATCAGGGTAGTTTTGATTTGCATTTCTCTAATTGCTAGAGATGCTGAACATTTTTTCTTATATTTGTTAATCAATTGTATTTCTTCTTCTGTGAAGTGTCTATTCAGTTCCTTAGCCCATTTATTGATTGGGTTTTTGTGGTTTTGTTTGTTTGTTTGGATGTTAAGTTTTTTGAGTTCTTTTTATATCCTGGAGGTTAATGCTCTATCTGGGGTGCAGGTGTCAAAGATTTTCTCTCATACTGTAGGTTCTCTGTTCATAGTTTAGAAGGTGATTGATTGGTCAAAGTCAATTGTGGCAAATCAATCAGGTTTCCAGTGGCAGCCACGAGGTAATCAGTTCTAGCCAATGAGATAAAAGGTAAAATTGGGGACTTCCTAGAAAGTGCTTCCTTCCTGATAAAGCAAGATTCCAAAGATCTTTTCCAAAATAGTTCACCTGTCTTCCGTCTCCTGCTCCATCAGCCATATCCAGGTAGGATGGGATGGACGTTTTGAATTATTTCTGGAGGTCAAGGAAGTCAGAGTATCATCTTGGAGGGGAGAAGGGGAAGCAACCTTGAACCACTAGTCACCAGTCTTAATAAGCAAGAGAAGAGAGCATTCATTAAGACAACTGTCTTAGGGCTGGGGATGTGGCTCAAGCGGTAGCGCGCTCGCCTGGCATGCGTGTGGCCCAGGTTCGATCCTCAGCACCACATACAAACAAAGATGTTGTGTCCGCCGAGAACTAAAAAATAAATATTAAAAATTCTCTCTCTGTCTCTCCTCTCTCACTCTCTCTTTAAAAAAAAAAAAAAGAAGAAGACAAGTGTCTTAGAACATCTTATTACTTGCAGCTAATAGCATCTTAATGAATTTAAGGAAGGATTCAATTTTGTGGTTTCCTGATAGTGTTTTATCATAGTCCATGTGTAGATATTTAAAAAAAAAAAAAGAAAAAAAGAAGTATATTACTACAACCTCAAAGTGTAATTAACAAAGACAACAACAAAAGATCTTTTGTCAAAAATTCTGAGAATTTTTGCTGTGTATATGAACTAAATTTGAATTTTTAAGGAATTTCTTTTGGAATAGGCAATATCTTCAGCTTGCATTTCATTTGCCCTGGGGGATACTCTTAATCAACACCCAGAGGCTGCTAATTTGCTTATGTTTCCTTCAGGAGATGTACACTGTATGGATGATGTGAGCTAGTTTGTCTGGCTGAGTTGGATGTTAAATAGAAGGCAAAGCAACAACAAAAAGTTGTTCTTGAATTTCCTTGTGTTTTTTTGGCCTTATTCTGTCAATTCCAGATTTTTGAACATGAAGTCCTGTGTTAACTAACCTCTCAGGAGGGAGGAGGTGAGATTGGCTGCTAAGTTACAGGATGGATCCCCTGGGCACCTGAGTCCGAGCACTGGGAGAAGTCAGGGAAATGACCTGGGCATGACCAGGGAGAGCACATGCCAGAAACTTAGGACAGTGGAGTATTGGGTGTGAGACCTCCCCTGCCCACTCTATTTAGTTTTGCAACCTGTCCTCCCACCCTGCCCCCCTCCCCGGTACCCCAAGTCCTTTTACTTGGCTTCCTAATATTTTTTGTTCTGTGGACTTCTTTGGCCATTTGAGACCTCTAGGAACCCTTTCTCCAAATAACTGTTTTTCAATTCATTAAATAAAACACAAATTGTTACCAAAAAAAACTACTGAAACATAGTTACAAAATATGCTTCTCTATTGATACATTAAATAAGGAGATCTAACCATAGGTAGAATAGCTACAAAGTAGCAATCAGTATAAAAAAATAGTTCAAGAGATTTGCCCCAGGCAGCTCTCAATAAGATACAAAATATCTGATTTCAATTTGTCACAAAGTCACAGGTACTGCTATGTGACTTTATGGCCCTGGTTTGTCCCTGACCATCAGATTGGAAGATTTAAGATTAATGAAAATAAAGGTGTCATTCTCTGCCCCATCAGTTTACAGATCTCCTGACTTCTATCTATGAACCCTGCCCATATCCCATTTTGCTAGTCTGGCAGAATATTTGTCTTCTTCTAATACTGTACAGTATTTCCTTATTTTTAATGTTTATTTTTTTATTGCCTTATTCTCTCTACTAGATGCAAATTCCACAACATCTTTGGCTGCTGTGTTCACTGATGAATGCTGACTATTAAGAACAGTGCTTGGCGCTTAGTGCAGTCTCTGTAAAAACTGGTCATGTGACCATGGCCAAACTGTACCGGCCTCTGAGAACAGGCAGGAGCAAGGTGTTTTCTTGCCTTCTCTGTTATTTCCCTTTCTTCTCTCTTACTTCTGTTTCCTATCCTTTTCTTTTACCTTTATACACACACTCTCTCCTTTTCTTTCTCTTTTATTATCCTTTCTTAATTTCACTCTCATTTAAAAGGTTCATTCAACAAGGATTTAATGAGAATGCAGTTGTGACAAGACAGACCAGACCTTGGGCTCCAAGAGCTTGTCACCCTCCAGGCATGTGCTCAGGGTGTGACCTTTGAGTTAGTCTGACCCAGTTCAGGGTCTGACCATTGGCAAATTTCTTAACCTCTCTTACTCAGGGTTGGACCCCCCCACACTCACCCACACACCATTACATCATTAATTCAGTCATTAATTAGTCATTAGGGGACTTGCTGAATGCCTGGTGCTGTTCTCTGTATTTGTGGTCTGGTGGGGAAGGAGACATGTAAACACAGTTAAAACACACAGTGATGTGTATGATGCTCTGATGGACCAAGGAGCTAGTGTAACAGGAAGATAGCTTGATATCTACCCCAAGCCCCACAGGATTCAGTCTTAGCATACTGCCTTCGTCATGAAGGATGATCCACAAACTCCAAGTAGCTTCAAGTAAGTTCTGTTAGTTTTTGCATTTCTGAAACAACACTAAGGGGATCAGTGTGTGATAAGAATTACAAAATCTCCTTTTATCCCCACCCTTCTCCCCAGGTACTCTGGAGCTTCATGGTGTGTGACTTGACTTCCACTTTCCACCTTCCTTTTGAGGGGTGGAGGAAGTGGTCAGGGCAGAAATGTCGGGTTGGTGATGTTAGGCATCTCTTTGGTGAACAGTGGAGAAGAGAGCGGTGTGGCCAATCTCTCCCACCAATTTTCCCCAGATACAGGAGCAGGATGGGGGGCTTCCTAAAGGAAGGGACATGAAAGCCAAACCCTGGACGGGGAAGGATGGGGAGTGCTCCTAGCACTGTGTAGGTCTGGAGAATGAGATGCTGGCCCCTGCCTGAGGGAATCTCAGTTGGCCTAGAGCACATGGGGGTGACTGGCAAGCTGGTGAGGGAGGAAGGTCAGAGAGGTAAGTGGAGCCATGTCAGGCAAGGTCTCCTAAACATCACCCAAGAGTTGGGATTCTCCCCGTGATCATGGGAAGTGAGGTGATGAGAACAGATGCGGATGTTCGACAGCCCTTATTGACTATGGCGAGGCCCACGATGATTAGGCGGTCAAGAGTGAGGGAGACCTGGGCCATGGTGACAGTGGCAACGAATAGAGAGTAGAAGTTTCAGGAGACACCACACAGTTGTAATCGATATGACTTACTGAATGACAATGTGGGGGCAGGGAGATCCCCCTTAAATAGACACACTGAAATCCTAACCCCCAGCCTTGGCACATGTGACCTTTTGGAAATAAGATCATTGCAGATGACCTTTTAAGGAGACGCCCAGGTGGAGACAGAAACCATGTGAGCTTGGAAGATCAAGGTGGTACATCTAGAGACCAAGAAATGCCAGAGATCACCAACAACCACCAAAAGCCAGGAACAGGCTAGGAAGGATTCTGCACAGGGTTCAGAGGTCATATGGCCCTGCAGACAACTTGATCTTGGATTTCTAGTTTCCAGATCTGTGAAAGAATAAATTACTGTTGCTTAAACCACCAAGTTTGTGGTGCTTTGTTACAGCAGCCCTAAGAAGCTAGAGCAGTGGAGAGCTTAGCCATATCCATGTGCTAAGCACTCAGGCTCTTAGGAACTTTTACTCTTATAGGCATTATAGAGCTGAAAAAATTTGAACACAAAATTCAACAGGAAAACAGAAATTGGTGAACAAATGCCTCCGGATCAGTAAGGACTGTTGGAATTCGTGATCCTTACTCCACGGGGTTGGCAGGTGGTTGATGAGGTGACAGGTGTAAGACTGTTTTGTGTAAAGAAGTTTCTCTAGGTATGTTGAAGTTTTGTCTTCATTTTAGTTAAGTAAAAGCATAAGGGCATATGCTGGAGTTGTTCATTTGAGTAGTTACCGCCCACAGAACTGGCTGCAAAGTTTGTGGAACCCAATGCAAAACAAAAACCCAGGGCCCCCTTTTCAGGAAGTATCCACAGGAAATTGGTGCAAAATCCAAGTTTGCATCCCAGATGCAAAATTCTCAGATCTTCAAGTCCTTTATGTAAAATGGAGTATTTTCATATAACCTGTGCAATACTCCCATATACTTTGTCATCTCTAGATTGCTTAAAATACCTAATACAATGTTGTGCTAGGTAAATGATTGTTATACTGTATTGTTTAGAGAATAAATGGCAAGAAAAAAGGCTATGTATGATCAGTACAGATGTAACTTTAAAAAATTTTTTTTTGGATCCATAGATTGTTAAATCCATGGATGCGGAAACTGCAGGCAGAAAGCTTCAAGGACACAGGCACACATTCAAAGACAGTGAATGAGTGCACATTCATATCACCTGTGCCTACCCAAGTGTCCCCAGAGACCAAGGGTGCAGGTGCAGAATCGGTGTTAATGCCCTAGAAACTTGGCCCAGTTTTTTGGCTTGCTATGGAGCTACAAACTACATGTGCCCAAACCTGAGGACAATAGGGGTGGAACCACTCCTGGATTTGAGATATAAACCGAATGACAATGTGGGGACAATGTGTCTTCAAAGTAGGGTTCAAGGGATCCTCTTGCCCCAGATTGTTCAAGGTGAATTTCAAGGTCATGACAGCAAAACATTAAACCAAGTGTTGTCCTTCTAGATATGGAGCCCTTGGCCACTACACTCAGGAAGCCACCCTGCCACTCACTATCATACTTAGGAGGGAGCTGGACTGCTGTGTGGGGAAGGACCGAACCCTACCCACAGCACCATGAGGATTGGATGTGGGGAGAGGAAGAGGAAAGGCAAGGAGGAAGGGCATAGGGCTGGGAAGGAAGAATGAACCTGTCACCTCAAATGACCACGCCCAAGATGTGGCCCTGCCCAGACAGTGGACAGATGATTGACAATACGAACACAAAATAGGGTTAGACAATGAGGCTGGTATTTGAACCTGTTTCCGTAAGCTGTGGAGGAGCACTGAATGGGTTTGATCAGGAGTCCAGGTGGGTAAAGACTCAGAACTGGAAAGGAAGTATCGGGAAACAAAAGCTATAAGGTTTTGCATCCAAATACCCACCTTGGAAATCATGATCAAAGCAAAGTATAACCCCTTTCTCTGGTTCTGTGTGTGACCCCACTGACTTGCTAAGCAGGGTCTTTGGTGTGATGGAGTGGCATCCCTCTCTGGCTTAGCACCCACAGACAAACACATTCACCTTCTTGTCCTCTTTGTAATAACCTGAGACATTATAGAAAATACCTATACTTTCAGTACCTTTAATTTCTTTACTAGTGAAATGTTTGACCTAATGTCTGGGATTTGATGGTCTTTTTAGTATGGTCTCAAATCGCTGTATCCTCTAGGCATATTTTT